TATTGGGCTTTACCAAGGAAAAAGTCAATATAATTCGATAATTTACATAATACATGTATTCATCAAATTGAGCATTATATGCTCAGGTGACAATGTAGCTGCAGATCTGGTTTTATATATTTGTTTTTGATCATAACGCTACAGATCCCCATATGCAAAAAAGGTGCAATTTACGCGCAATATTTTTTGAGCACTTTTCGGCAGAATTTCTCCACTTTCTAGCATTAGTCAATCAACTACCTTTCACTCCCTAATTTTAGACACATTCTCTGGCCAATATGTATATTTTGTCCACCTCCCAGCCATTTATAGTAATCTCTACAGGCAATAAACTCGCTTGATGTGAATTTTCAGCAATCTAACAAATAATTTTAATCAAGCGAGTTTATCTCGAGTAGAGACGACTATAAAGGGTTGGGAGATGGATAAAATATACAGATTGATTAAATAATGTGCCTAGAATTAGGGAGTGAAAGGTAGTAAGTTGACCGATGCTGGAAAGTGGAGAAATTCTCCCCAGAAGTGCGCAAAAAATATTGCGCCGTAAATTGCACCTTTTTTGCATTACAGGATCTGCAGTCAAAGACTAATACATGTATATAAAACCATAACGCTACAGATCTGCAGCTAGTGACCATGTGACCCATGGGCCTCCATTTTATAGGTATTTCATATTCTTAATTCATTACCAGTCGGAAATTAAACTACTGTAACAGAATTAAATTAATGATGTAAAATAAATTAGGTTTGATAAAGGGGGGGGGGGATTTTTGGCACATAATTGGAACTTTTTAAATCTATTTTCTCATATAGATTAACAACAAATAATATTATTCAAATTAGTGTATGGCGTTTTTGATGAATTTTTCAATATGTGCAAAGTATATTTATATTTGATTAGGCAGAAACTTCTTGAAAGCTGCCATATACACAATCAATTTATTAGTCAACCCCCACCCGTCTCCCATCAACACACACACACAAACACACCTTATTTGTCTGTTTTTGCAAATAGGCCTAGATTGCAAAGCTAAAATAAAACATCTTTTGTAAATGATAATTTTCAATTTGTTCTTGCACTATACATGTATCTGAACACCTGCATCACATTGGGCTTGCGTCACGTACCCAACTTAAGTACTAGTTTTACCATTGGCATTATCATTTTAGATTTCACTGCACGTGCAGTAGGATACTAGTGTGCATATTTGCATATATGTCGGTAGGAATTATTTCATTCTGTGTTTTAACTGGATTATATTTCATGAAGATGACAGGGCCTAAATAATAACAATCGGTAAGTACAAGTTTTGGTATAGATTTGGGTAAAATAGTCTGAAATGCAAACGGTTAGGTTAAAGTTTAAAGGATCAAAGGTCATCCGATGCTACAATAGACGAATTTCACATTCTGAAGAGTTATCCTCCGTTATCAACGTTACATGTGTTCAGTTACAAGATCCAGAATTTTTTTTTCTGGGAGGAACGGTGGGGGTTGGGTTCCAGACCAGAATTTCCTGAGAAGCAAGATAAAAAAGAAGTTATGGTTTGGTCTGTTTTCTAGGGTGGAGGGACACTTAGGGCATCCAAAGTCATTTTTATTTCCTCCAGTATATATTATAGTCCTGCAAATTCCGGGGGAAATGGGGGGGGGGGGGGGGAGGGGGGAGGGGATGTTGAGGGGGCGATCTCCAAATCCACTTCCCTGTCCCTGTAATGACAAATGATCATGTGACTCCTAAATAGTAGGAAACTTTTTCCATTTGACTATACATAATATTGTTTCTTGTGTTATTATGTTATGTAAATTTAATGGTATAAAGGTTATGAACCCCTAGAGGTCATCCCCACTCTCCTAATGAGTTGGAAATGTTCACAATATGACTGCATTAAATTAAATAAAAGTGCATCAATGATAAGATTACTTGACATTTTATTCATGAATTTGTGTCAACATATCTTCCTAGAATTAGGAATGAGAATCATTCAGAGATGGACCACATTAAACTATTTGTATAAACATTTTTTTTTGCATACATGAACAAACAGGGGTCTGGGAAGGGGTGAGGGGAAGGATCGAGTTAATATTTCTTTACGTCTTAATGGTTGAAAACTCCTAAAATGAATGTTGACCTCAAATCTAACTTGTCCTTATTATTTTTCAAATGGTGGTGTCTCCATATGAGTGAAAAATTCCTGAGAGGGATGTTTAACAACAAACAAAATGACATAAAAACACAATATTGATTTGCGTTAAGAAATATGCAAAAATCTTCTTCTCAAGAACAGCAAGGGCATTCTTGTCCCCCATTTTGGGGAAAGGGAGGGGACACTTAATCTCATTTGTCTGTCAGTCTGTCCATCTTATTGACAGCTAGTATGTGCATCTGTCACAATAAATTTAACCTTGGTCATAACTTTTGAATGATAAGAGATAGTGCTTTCATATTTCACATGCACATTACCACAAAACTTTCTAAATATACTATGATTTTTTAGCCCAAGTGAGACCTTGACCTTAAAGTTTTACCTACTTTCCAAAAAATAACATTTTAAATTGATCATTTTGAAAGAGAAAAGAAAGGGCATTCAAATTATACATGTTTATTACATGTGAAAAGACTTTTCTAAATATATCATGACTTTTGACTCTGTGACCTTGACCTAGAAGTTTAACCTACTTTTCAAAAATATTATATTGTATATATAACTTTTGATTCAAAAGAGATAGGACTTTCATATTTGACATGTACATTACCTGCAACAAAATGTTTCAGAGCATGCTATGATTTTCCCCCTTTGACCCAATTTTCAAAAATTGATATATGATAGGGGTGCATATTTGACACACAATCTGCCATAAATTATGGTATCTCATTCACTAAAAGACAGAAAGCAGAGGACCACAATTCTTTGAATTTGCGTGTATAATCTTGATAGATGGAAACATGCTTATATAATGTAGATTCAAGTTTTTTATGCCACACCATGATTAGGAATACATGTATAATTTTTGTCATGTCCGTCCTCCACCCTTCCATCTGTCTTTCCATCGGGCTCAAAGAAACTTTCTAGATATTTTTATCAAAGTTCATATGTTGATGCACACTGATGTAAATATCCAACTGCAGCAATATTTTTTGACTTTGACTTTTCCTTTGACCTTCACTTAACTTTTCTTTAAATTAGTGTTTAGCTTTATTTTGAAGAAACCATTCAAGTTGTGTAATGAAACTTCACATGATGATACATACTGATGTAAGCTTTACGACGCTTCACTCTTTTTTACCTTGACCTTTCCTGTTACCTTGACCTCACTTTTCTAAAATTAATGTCTAGACCAGTTTTGAATAAACAATTCAAGATATATTTATCAAACTTCACATGCTGTTACATACTGCTAAGAGCTATTAATACGTCAACTTATTTTGACATGAAATTTTCCTTTGACCTTGACCTCACTTTTTAAAATATCATTTTTCGAAACCATTTCTCCCCCCAGGGCAAAATCAACATTCCAAAACCTTACTGTACATCTACATGACACCACCAACCATCTCCCAAAAGATGATTAGGCTACTTTGTAAAATGTAAGAGGAGTTCAGGGAAGACGGGTCTTTTTGCATAAAAAACGTCATTTTTCGACCCCCATTTGACCCCTGGGGCAAAATCAAAATTCCGAAACCTTACTGCACATCTACAGGACACCACCAACCATCTCTTAAAAGACGATTAGGCTACTGTGTAAAATGTAAGAGGAGTTCAGGCAAGACGGGGCTTTTTGCATAAAAAACATCATTTTTCGACCCCCATTTGACCCCCCGGGGCAAAATCAAAATTCCGAAACCTTACTGCACATCTACAGGACACCACCAACCATCTCCCAAAAGATGATTAGGCTACTTTGTAAAATGTAAGAGGAGTTCAGGGAAGACGGGGCTTTTTGCATAAAAAACGTCATTTTTCGACCCCCATTTGACCCCCCGGGGCAAAATCAAAATTCTGAAACCTTACTGCACATCTACAGGACACCACCAACCATCTCCCAAAAGATGATTAGGCTACTGTGTAAAATGTAAGAAGAGTTCAGGGAAGACAGGGCTTTTTGCATAAAAAACGTCATTTTTCGACCCCCATTTGACCCCCCGGGGCAAAATCAAAATTCCGAAACTTTACTGCACATCTACAGGACACCACCAACCATCTCCCAAAAGATGATTAGGCTACTGTGTAAAATTTAAGAGGAGTTCAGGGAAGATGGGGCTTTTTGCATAAAAAACGTCATTTTTCGACCCCCATTTGATCCCCCGGGGCAAAATCAAAATTCCGAAACCTTACTGCACATCTACAGGACACCACCAACCATCTCCCAAAAGATGATTAGGCTACTGTGTAAAATGTCAGAGGAGTTCAGGGAAGACGGGTCTTTTTGCTTTTTGCATAGAAAACGTCAATTTTCGACCCCCATTTGACTCCCCGGGGCAAAATCAAAATTCCGAAACCTTACTGCACATCTATATGACACCACCAACCATCTCCCAAAAGATGATTAGGCTACTGTGTAAAATGTAAGAGGAGTTCAGGGAAGACGGGGCTTTTTGCATAAAAAACGTTATTTTTCGACCCCCATTTGACCCCCCGGGGCAAAATCAAAATTCCGAAACCTTACTGCACATCTACAGGACACCACCAACCATCTCCCAAAAGATGATTAGGCTACTGTGTAAAATGTAGAAGGAGTTCAGGGAAGATGGGGCTTTTTGCATAAAAAACGTCATTTTTCGACCCCCATTTGACCCCCCGGGGCAAAATCAAAATTCCGAAACCTTACTGCACATCTACATGACACCACCAACCATCTCCCAAAAGATGATTAGGCTACTGTGTAAAATGTAAGAGGAGTTCAGGGAAGAAAAGTGTTACAGACGGACGGACGGACGGACATGAGTAACAACAATATACCCGAACTTTCTTTAGAAAGTGCGGGTATAATAAGCATACATGGGTTACATTTAAGTCATTATATAACATGCACAACATTGAAAATAAAAGTTAAAAGTAAGCATATATTTAAAAAAAAACATATGATTTTACCAGTCCAAAAATTATGTTTTGCTTTTCATCAATTAAAGAGGATGCATTTTTCCTCAGAAAGGAGAGTTCTTATATGTAGACTGTTCTGGGTCTGGGTATACCTGGAAAGCTTAAAAATAAAACATAACATTTTTCATGGAATTTCAATCTACAAACAAAAATGTTTCCTATATATCTGTTTTAAAAACGTTTTAAACCTATTTTATTGAAACATAATCAATGCGATTGGAAACAAGTTATTCCAACTTAGACCGTCCTCTACTTCCAACACAAACAAAATGACAAAAATTATAAATTCCCTTCTAAATATACTCACAACTTACAATACTTATTTCGTAAAATGAATTTGGATTTTTCTTAAATCTTGGTGTTCTTCCGATTGAAGTGATAATCAAGGAATGATAGCTTAAAATTTTACCAAAATGTGCTGTTTTTGATCTGGTACAATCAAACTGCTTACTTTGAACTCAACGGGACGTAGTTACGCAGTAATATGTTAAGGTTTCCCATAGCTTTAAATGCGGTTAAAACGTAACACTGCATTGCAAGGTCGATTTTAGGTTTTATTTTTAAGTTATGTATCTAAATACGACCAATTTATATAGAGAGTTCACTAGGCTATATATAAACATATATGTTACGATATCACATGACCTCATTGATCACGTGACGGTCATTTTTACCTTTTTGAAGTGTTTCACATAAATCGCTTCGGCGCAGCCCTATAACACAATTATTATTAACTTTTTGTCATGTAAATAAAATCGTTGCATCCTTGCAAATCCGAAATTTTCTTCGGAAAATTAACTATTACTCTTGTACAAAACATATTACAATAACTTCAACTTACCAGCAAATCTTAGGGTATTTTCCACTTAATATCGTAATTTGTTTTAAAAGAAAGTCATCATACATTTTTCCCAAGCAAGATTCAGTTAGAAGGGGAACTCCTCTTACAAATTTCCACAGAAGGATCTCTTGAAAATTGATACTTATTAATCACCAGCGACAGGCTCTTTTATACACATACTATGACTTCTGCTTCTATCCATGGGTATAAAAAGGGGCAAATGTCAAACGGATATCTCTGTATGTATTTTAAACACGCTGACTTTTAAAAAATAGAAATTAAACGAAGTTATCTAAATTATTCGGATATATTAGATTTAAAAAAAAAAAAAAGATTAAGACACGTTTACTTTACACTAGCTCTCTGACACTTTGTATGCAGTTTGAAATAAGGTGTAGAGATTATGACACTTTCCCAATCATTACAGCTCGACCTGATGTCATTTTCAATTATGACGTCATACATTTGTAGTTCATGCAGAGAGTATACTACAATATTTTCAGGGATGCCTTATCGTACCTGCGTAAAAAACCAGAATTTCCGAGAATTTGAGATATCCAGGTTTAAATATTTAATGAATTATGGACGGAATTTTACTTCCAGATCGCTTTGACGTATCCTTTATCCATGACAACGTCTATGAAACCATAACCTATTATCACAGTTATTCTATGACGTCATTTTTATATACATGTGAATATGTAATTAGATATATGAAGACAACCTATAAATACCAATTTTGATATCATCAGGCCTAAAGCGTTTCTAAAGATATAAAATGATTACTATCGCAAAAAGGCGGGATGTAAATTCCAGCACATTCACATCTGAAGTCTCCATTGTCTGGAAAGCAGGTCCCTCCATTTTCACAAGGATTGGGTTGACATGGATCAAAGGATTTGGCTGAAGTAGAAATTAAATTTTTAAAGATATATATATATATATATATATATATATATATATATATATATATATATATATATATATATATATATATATATATATATATATATATATATATATATATATATAATATGCACGCATTTGTAAAAAGTATATAATGTCTCTTTCTACTTACTATTTTTTTCATTGCCCTACATGTAGTGGCAAACAAACAAACACGTACGATTCTTCAATATTCTAATAAACTTGGGAAATATGACCATCAAAGTAAAATGGCACTTTTATACATATACAGTGTAATACTACATAAAATTTTTAATCGTCACATTTTATAATCATCAAAGAAAATTGGAAATTATATCAAATATTTGCAAAGAGTATACCAATTTTCTTATTCTAAGGGTTTGCGCCAGCTTATCGATTGTTAAGAAAAGAGCAGAATGAGAAGTATTGCAACATGATTTTTGCAACATCGTTGAGTAAGCAGGAATTCAAAATTGAATGTTTATATTATAATTTGATGTCTTAATTATTTTGTCCGAATGCCTGTAAACGTTGAGATAATGGACCAGTTGTTTTTTTAATGACTACTTAAAAAATGTCAAGAAAAACGTTAAATCAAATCAGTTGATCAGGTCTGAACAATTTAAAGAGAGATAACCAAATTAGATAAACATATAAGGGTAATTTTAATTTAATTTAGATCTTACCTATAACTCCAGAAAGATGATTGTTGGAGGCCAGATATATCAAAGTAAATATAAACAAAATTGGCATCTTAGTCCAAAGTGTGTTGTATAACTATTTCTTAGTTAAATACCAAACTGCTTTGATTTTCGTGAATATAAATGCTTTTGAAGGAATTGCACATTTGATGAATTACTTTACTGATGAATTGCTTACAACAGCTTTTCCCATTTTGGGCAAATAAACGTTCCTTAAAGTACAAAATACATTATGGAAATCAAATTTATTATTTTTTAGGCTCGTTTAAAAAATCATGGATACAGTTATGTATTATACAATACGATTACGTGACACCTTGGGATCGCGTCCTTTAGGCTTTTAAAGCAAGCATATTCAGTAAAGAAGAATTTGTAGAATGCTGTCTCCTACGTGTAAATCTATATAGCTGGAAAGACACAGAGAGAGAGAGAGAGAGAGAGAGAGAGAGAGAGAGGTTGTACTTTGTTTTTTAAAGACAAATAGGCTTTTTAAATTAAATCAATTGCATTCAAGTATGTAATCAGCTTTATAAGCAATTTTGAATTCTAGCAAAATTTAGATCAGTTCAGTGGAAGTGAAGTTCATGAATGCTACGTTGTTTTGATAATATCTCTCTATCAAATGTAAATTTTACATTTTTCATATGTTACTCGCTCTTTCGGGTTGGACATCTTAAAGTATGTCCGTACTTTCAAATTTGTCTGCCAAACTCGTAATTGTTTTTAATTTTAATACCATAAATAAGTCATACACTTACTAAAAAGCCATAACAGACATACATATATCTTTTCAGATAAATATTTATACAACATGTTTCGGAGCACATACATCTAAAATGTCAACAACCAAAATTCAACATAAAGAAGTGTGATATCGTATTTTTCTAGCTATGCACTAGATCACATCAAGACACTGTTGAAGCTTATGAAAATCAAAAATATACATTTACCAAGACAATATTTGAAATTTTTTTTTTTGAAAAATAAACAAATTGGATAGTTTACAGACGCGTACGAAAGTGCTGTGTTCTTGATACGTAGATACTTATGTATAACCGTATTCTTTATAGGAAAAGATAATGACTGAGCAAATTGATTTCTTTCTCTAGATAATTTAAGACAAAAAAATCTACCGCAAAAGAACCATGTTTTGGTACTGGATGCCGTTAACAATCGTCAGATGTAAAAGTAAAATAGAATGTATACAATGAAATAAAAATCTTTGAAAAGGTTTCTTACATCTTAGTTATATCAAATGCTCAGGAAGATTTAAAGCGGCAATACGGCTGCAAATCGTGTGCTTTTTCATTCAAATTTACCCAATATATCATCCAGGAATAAGGTAAAAAGTTGAAGTAAGCATTTGAGAAAAAATAAATATTCTCTCCTCATACAAAATTAACGTAATTAGAATCTGCCGGAAAATCAAGGGTCGTGCAACTTAGTTCTGTTTACTTGTACCTTGTGAATTCTAAAATGGCACCGCAGCATACAATGTAGGGTTTACGATTATAAAGAAATATTTAAGTAAAAGCAATTCTGAGAATCAAAATATCTTAACTCTCCGGTAAATTAATAATAGTTAACATATTAGTCTGTATTTAGCATGTTTAGACGCATTTAACATGATTAAGTACAAATGTTGACGTTTTGTGTTTTGGGGTGCAGGAAAGGAAAATCAAACCATACGTCATCGCGGCAAAATGTCAAACAAAATATCTCTCTGCAGTTCCAATACAATTTGCACTTCAAATGGCAATTTAATTTTTATATGTCATAAGTGCATTTTTACATTGAGTTTACACTGATTTCTTTTTCCTTTGAAAGCCATGGGGATAAGAGAAATGATAGCATGTATCAACAAACCTGTAGGGTAGAACCTTCACGAGCCCCACGTGAATGTAGCCGAGATCCCGTTTCTTCTTTATCCAATGATTATATTAATTTCCCAACTAAATTTTTGTCAGGAAAGTTGCTTTTTTTTAAATTTCCAGCCCTATTTTGGTTTTGTTTTTCGTTTTGGTCGACTTTGTCAATGTAGCAGGCCTACCGGGCTTCCCTCTCTTACCATGCTGATTTGTTTATGAAAACTTTAGGCAAGCGTGTATAGCACGGAATGTGGAACCTCGAACACGTTGCGATGTTTATATTTATGGGCCATAAATAATTATTAATTAAAATGAAATAATCAGAATTATTTACTTATGAAATTTGTAATTTTCTGAAAGTGTATACATTTATGAGTATGAAAAAAAAATTCCAAATCCTATAGGCCTAGGTCAATTTTAACAAGACTGTTTTTGAAGAGATGCGCCGTATTGTAACTTTAAGGATAAGAGATGGGTGTCCTCCATATAATACACATATTTGCTTACTCTAATATATACATGTACGCTTTTGCTGTTTTTTCTGCCTTTAACACTTTATAAAATTGTGTATTTTTTAATTTTTTTTTCTGCTGATTCAAATTTGCCTGTCCCTCAGAAAAGATAAAACATTAGGAAAAGATTGATATAGTATTAGATATGTACGCCCCTTTTTATGATTTCAATTCTAAGTAACAGATGATCACAGTCCTTGCACATGTTGCAATCACAAGAAAAAAGACTTCGATTTTAAAAATTTCTGAAATAACAATAATTCCCAACAAATCATTAAGAATGTGTAAGCTAACTTAATTTCATGTTCTATGACGATAAATGTTTTTAGGGATGTTAGTAGAATATAGATAAAGTTCTTGTTGTCATGAAGGATACAACTTTCATCTCGATATGTTGCTTAAAATTTGAAAGACTCAGCTAACGCCTCGACGTCATATTTCGGTTATACATGTACATTTTTCGACCCCATAAGCTATCCTGCAACACTCGCAAAATGCTTACTTTATCTGTTAATATTAAAAATAATAATAATAAATTCAAAGATATACTTTTTTCTCTCTTTTAAATTATATAAAAATGATAAGTTGTTATTTTTATTTTTTTTGAAAAAAAAAAAAAAAAACGTTTGTTTGCATTTTGTTTCCATTAGAACATGTTATTTTCTTTCTAGACATGAAAGTACCTATTAAATCGACATACATGTTTGTCAATATCAAATACAAAATATATGCTCTGATATTCAAGATTTTTCATAATGTCTAACTACGTGATATATTTTTGAAGGATGATTGCAAAAATTAATAAACTAAGATCGTTTGAATATAATAGAAAGTATTTGATTTCCACAGAGAATAATGACATCATTTGGAGATAATTTACAATCAAACTTGGTCTAAATATTTCATGTAATTCGTTTGTTTTTATGTGTCTCTGAGAAAAATGTATTGTTTTCTTGAAAAACAAATAGAAATGTACTTTCTGTAATGAAATATATAGAGATAACGGACAGTATTCAAGCTTAAAAGTTTTTTTTTCCAACAATGCACATTACGAGAGGAGCAATCACGAACCTCCAAAACATCAGAGGACGAATCAGGTTAGATAATTGAGAGGGCATCCCCTGCCGACTAGTCACCCTCGCCGTGTGCTCCAAATGATTGCTGGAAAATAAAGGAAATATTGGTCGAAAATTCAGTGTGTAATCAGCAATAAGCATGAAAAACTTTAATCAACTTATCACTTTATTATAAATTGCATTTTGCAGACATGACCATAGTATCGACAGTAGAATTTACGAAATACTTCGAACTTTAAACGATACTGCTGATAATCCCGTTTCATCAACTTGTTTGTCAATACCTAACATCGTTTTATATTAGAATCGTACATACAAAGAGCATGATCTTTCGTATCAACTCAACTGATCAACTCAACTGAAGTCATAATCCTTATATGCAGGTATTGAAGGTATATTGCTGTATTATTGAGGAGAACTGGCTATTGAAAAGTTAAAATCATCATGTTTTAAGTTTGGTTGCCAGATAACTATCAATATCTTTTTCAATTAAAATAACTGAATGTGAGACATGTGTGTCATACTCCATGGTATCTATATATAAGCAATTTTAATGATTTAAACGATAGAGCCATACACTTATTTTTTTTTACGTGTAGTAATTAGTCATATTGAAACGTAGTGAACCGAGCAGTTCACAAGTAAAAGTGCATTAAATACATCGATCTAAATGATAAATTACATTTTATACGTTCTTGCAGATAAAGTACCTAAATTCGATATAGGTCGTTGTTGGCATTCTGTTTTCATGATTTAAGAGTAATCTTAAGTTGGCAATAACAAAACATGATTAATTGTTTTGAGAAATTGTTTATAAATATGGCAATGTTAATAGAATCATTTTTCCTGAAGCAGAAAGATGAAGAAAATTTACCTAATATGAAAAATAGAATTAAAATCCATGATCTATTTTTAATCAAACATTAAAAATTAAAATTACATTGTGCTTCATCCTATGCATAGTATAATATAACACATCTTTTAAGAAACAAGTCACCAGCCATTGAAATTTATATCTTTACAAATTCTCAATTGATAGAATTACCTGGATAGCTTTTTAATAAGTATTTGAAATAGTATACAATATCAAGATTAGACCAAATCACGAATCCTGATCTATTAATGATATGCATTTGGCGTTATCTAGATACAGGGAAATGCATGGAGCAAATTTTTATAAGATTACCAACTGTGCTCAGTTGAATTATCATCATGATAATCAAAATAGCAGATATGCATATGTCAAGTGGTAACATGGCTATATATGCTCAGTACGATTTTTCTTTTATCACTTTTATTCCATTTCAGCAGCGATCATGAATCAGTTACCAATTGTTCTCATGGTTTTTCATTTAATTTCTCCTCTCTCTTTTATCAGAGGTAAGGTACATTGATTTTAAATTTCTCTACTGTTTTTGTCAGATGCAGAACAATTTTTTATTATAAAAGAAACGGGTTAAATTAATTGTATTATATTCAAGTTTCTTTCAAAATCTGTTTTAAATGCAATTATCAGTGCAATGGCTTATAAACTCTCATTTTATATTATATAGTCTTCAAGAGAATGATGCATATTAAAGTAAGCTCATGTTTATCACTGAACATTAAGGAAT